GGATGATCTAGATGTTACTACAGTTCATGTGCTTTGCATCAATACAAAATTCATATCCTGTATGCCTTTTTGCCTTTCCACTTCCTTTTTCCTTACAATTTGGCATAGTTGTTAGTGTCTAAAAGTTATGCCATGGTTGATCTTAATAAAACATAGAAGATTCCATCTAGTTGTTATGTATTTCTATTTTTCTATTCATCAGTGGTTGAGCAAATTATTTCTTCTTTCATTCTGGTTTTGTTGACAGAGAGGATGAAATTATGACAATGTGACATATTGATTTTCAACCCTTTTTTGTTTGTGCCTAAAAAATAAAAAGAAATCAAGGGACTCTTTCATGATGTTCAGGACCAGCCTAACATTGAGTGAAGCCTAAAGTAAAATTTGAGAAATAATTTTATACTTTAAATGAGAAAGCTATATGTTGGACTTTTTTTTATCAACATATCTAGCCTTTTTTGTTTTATTAAATTAATAGCAAATAATTTTTCTCTAACTTTCCTTGTTTTATCAACATCATCTTTTGCTTGTGCCTTTTGCCTGTAATATGATAGATGATAGTTCACCTTTACAAATTGCATTTGTATGTTTCCAATTATTTCAATTTCACCAGATTGAAGGGTTTCTCTCTTGGTCATATTAATTTCCTTCTCTAGGAATTTTATTGATTACTAATCAAATTCAATAATATGTGGCATAATATTGTTATAAAATTTCAATTGGTGTCAACTTGTCAAAGGTTGTTACACAAAACAGGAAAAAAAATGGTAACAGAAAGGTTTAGCATTTTCTTGAATCATGTGTTTTCTGTCATACTCATGTACATTTAACTGTGATATGGAAATTGAATCTTTGTAATTCCTTTCTTTTGATTCACTAGCATCACAATGAATATAATTCTTTATAAATAATGTTTTAACTTTTTTCTGTAATCAACGGCTACAAACTATTTAAGTAGATACTTATAAGTTATAAGCTAATGTAGTTCATTTTGTCTACTCAGGTGGATGAGCATGAATCCCAAACATTGGATGACATAAAGGAAAATGAACCAGAATTTTACAGTAAAGTGATTGCTGTGTTAAGACAAGCTGAACTTGACTTTGGTTTGTGACTCCTTCCTTGGTGCAAAGTTGTATGTCTAATAGGCTACTCTTTTTGCTTGAATTTTGTGGATTGAAAATTTATTAAATTTTTCTCAATATTTTTTAGTACCAACAATGATTAAGTTTATATTCCCCCACAGTAACTATACTTTAAACAATTTTGGAATTCTTGAGTCTCTTCCTTTTTTTAATTTTATTACATTTTCTTATTTATATTCAATTGTGTGTAACAAATTACCTTCGTAAAAGTTATGTTTTATTTAGGGGTCAAAACTAGTAGAAAATTTAGGGGTCATTCACGACTAGTGTAGCAGCTTAACTATCTTAGCTATTTAGCCTTCTACGAGTAGCAACTAAGACATTGGAACCTTAGATCTTCTCTATCAAAAGAGTGGTTAATTCTGGTTATTTTGGTCTGTTTTTCACCTTATTCAGCCAGTAGTCTCGGCTTATAAGTAAAATGAAATGAAAAAAAAAATGCGGCTTTTAGAACTCATTTTGCATGAGTTTACGTATTTATTATATTCCTTTTCTCACGTTTTAGCATGACAACTTAATCTATGATCTCAATTAACTAACATCCTATTTTTCTTTTCTGTTGTAGAACAACTACATGGCTGAGCTACATGAAACTTTAGTTTCTGACACTATAGAACATCTAGCTGAACAAATGTTATCGCCTCGCGATTCTGAAGGGCGTAAGAATCGATCTGATGTATAGAATCACTTTATTGAGGAGCCAAAGCCCAACATAGATAAGAGAGCTAAATGTAACCATTGTGGTATGTGACACCCTCTACCTCGCATACCATAACACATAAACAATAAAATTTGAATAACATAATCTTTCATTATTAAAAGAATCAAACAGTACAACAAAAGAATTCTTAGCTATCCGGTGTGTATTCCAACACTGTGAGCTAGAGTGAGATGTTTCTCACTCCCTTTTCTTTTTGTTGTTTTCCTTTGATCGTTATACAGGTGATTACCAACATGAGGATGAGGATGTTGGTGATGAAGCTTAGGCTTCTATGTTGGGCTTTGCTCTGATAGGACATGTGACATCGGGGCGTAGATAGGATTAGATTAGGATATTATTTCTATTAAATTAGTTTGAAAACCTTAGCCTTATTTCGTTGTAATTTTCGTTGATCATGTTATTTGTTTAAGTTATGGATGTGGTGCTCTCTATCTGAACATATTTGGTATTTTAATGTATGGTTCTCTCAGTTTGGCTATCTATTTGAGGATGATAGGCTGAACTCAATCTAAGCTTAGTGCCTAACGCCTTATGCAAGCTCTCCCAAAATCTAGAGGTGAACCTAGGATCTCTATCAGAAACTATACTAGTAGGAACTCCATGCAACCTCACAATTTCACCTATGTACAACTTGGTTAACCTCTCCAAAGGGTATCTAATGTTAATGGGAACAAAATGGGCAGACTTAGTCAATCTATCCACAATGATCCATATAGCATCCAAGTTCTTCACTGTCCTAGGTAACCCAACTACAAAATCCATAGAGATGTTATCCCATTTCCACACAGGCACATCTAAAGGTTGTAACAAACCTGAAGGTCTTTGGTGTTCTACCTTAGCTTTCTGATATACTAGGCAGGCATACACAAATTCCTCTACTTCCCTCTTCATCTTAGGCCACCAATACATCTTCCTAAGGTCTTGCTACATCTTAGTGGCTCCTGGATGGATACTAAGGTTACTCCTATGACCTTCTTCTAGGATTGCTCTCTTAAACTTAGGCACAATAGGAATGCACAACCTATCCTTAAATCTCAACATTCCATCTACTCCAACTCTAAACTCACTCTCCATACCTTGATTCAACTTTCTACTTGACTCAATAAGAAAAGATCTACCTTTTGACCTTCTCTAATTTCATCTATCAAGCTATTAGTCACTCTCAAGGCTCCCAACTTAATACTCTTAGGGGTCAGCTCACACACTAAGCTCATATTTCTAAACTCCTCAATCATACGCAACTCCTTAATCATCAAAGAGGACTCTCTTAGAGATTTCCTACTTAAAGCGTCAACTACAACATTAGCCTTGCCAAGGTGGTAATTCAATTAAAAGTCATAATCCTTAAGGAACTCTAACCATCTCTTCTGCCTCATATTCAATTCCTTTGTGTCAAACAAGTACTGAATGCTTTTATGTTCACTAAAAATCTCAAATCTAGACCCAAACAAGTAATGTCTCCACAACTTAAGAACAAATACTCCTACAGCTAACTCAAGGTCATGGGTAGGGTAATTCTGTTCATGGGTTTTCAATTGCCTAGATGCATAAGCTATTACCTTTCCCTTCTGCATAAGCACCCCTCCTAAACCCATCTTAGAGGCATCACAATACACTACAAAGGTTTCACTAGGGCCAGGTAACACTAAAATAGGGGCATTAGCACTATAAGAAAAATGCTGATTTTCGACAAAAATTTTCGACGGAAACAACTAAATTTCCGACGGATTTTTCTTTTTCCGACGGAATCCGTCAGAAAAAGTGGCATCGGAAAAGAAAATCCGTCGAAAATAATTTTTTTCGACGGATTTTTCCGTCAAAAAATTCTGTCAGAAATTTCTGACGGAAAATTCTGTCAGAAATTTCTGACGGAAAAATCTGTCGAAAATTATATTTTTTTTTTAATTTTAATAAATTTATTAATGTAACAACTCTCATATTTGGTCTCTCAAGGGTTCTATTTCACAATATTTCACTGTTTAGCGTGTTTTATCCTTACTTGTGCAATTTCTGGGAAACTTTCCAGGAGGTCACCCATCCTAGTACTACTCCAGGTCAAACACGCTTAACTCTGAAGTTCTGATGAGTAAGCTACTGAAATGTATATGTATGTTGTCAGTATAACTTGTACAAATTAATTCATTTAAGTCATCTTCAAATATACAATCTCATATTTGTACTATAATAATAATATATAATAATTTTATATTACGAATAATAATAATAATAATAATAATATATTTAATTATTCTTTATTTATATGTACTTACTTTTATAATTAACATCTACTTATTTTTATTTAAAATTATAATTTAAATTATTTAATTTTATAATTTATAATGATAATATAATTTATAAAATTATAAATATTTATTTATTACATACTTATAAATTAAATTTTAATATTTTAAATAAATTATTAATTAATTTAATATATTTATTTACCTTAAATCAAACATATAAAATTCAAAAAATGTATTTATCCTTGTTTTTTTTTCTAATTATCAACCATTAATAAAATACTAACTTAAAATCTTATCTAATTATATATAATATTCTCATATCAAATTTAAAACCAGATATTAGTTATACAAAAATATTAAGATCATATAGTAAATTGTCAATAAGATTTTAGTTAAATAATTTAAAATAATTAATGTTTCAATTATATTGTTAATTAGTAAATAATTTATTCCAAAACTAATTAGTTTTTTATATTAATTATTAGTAAAATTTAATAACATTTAATTTAACAATTAATTGGATCGATGAAATTCAACATACACCATGAGTTATTGAGCGGAATAACTTTACCAAGAGTTATTTTGTAAGTTATCTTAAAACAAACATATAAAATTCAAAACCATTTCTTACATTTTTGACAAATATAAATTTGTCTGAAATATTCTATCAATAATATAGCTTTTTCTACAAAAATTTTCTCATCGAAAATATAAATTTTCTGATAGATTTAATTTTGTTTTATAAGAAATCATCTTCGATTAATATAACATTTTGGTCACTTTATTCAGTTGCCTATAGTTTACGCATAACCTCATGCTCCCATCTTTCTTCTTAACCAATAAAACAGGCAGTCCCCAAGGTGACACACTAGGCCTAATGAATTGTTTCTCCTAAAGCTTTTCTATTTGTTTCTTGAGTTCAGCTAACTCCTTAGGGGACATTCTATAAGGCTCTATAGATATGGGTGCAGTGCTAGGTACTAAGTCTATGGAAAACTCAATCTCTCTCTCAGGTGGTAAGCTAGACATGTCCTTAGGGAAAACATCAGGAAACTCACTCACTAAGGGAATCTCACTAAGCTCATGGTCTTTCTCAAGTTTCAAACAGGCGTGAATCATGTAAACCATTTCATTTTCCTTTAAATAAGTTTTTACTTTATTAGCACTTAAAAGCTTTGCACATTTACTCTCACCAAAGGATATGAATTTTTCAAAGCAAATTAGTAGGACATGATTGGAAGATAACCAGTCCATTCCAAGAATGATTTTTAGTTGATTAAGAGGCAAACAGATAAGGTCAACCAGAAACTGCATTTCAGAAATAACAATTGGACATTTAAGACAAATACTAGAAGTAGTTATGGGACCATCTGTGGGGGTTTCTACAACTAGATCATAGCTCAAACAAGACACTGTCAATTTCAATTTTTGGACATAGACAAAAGAAATGAAAGAATGAGTTGCACCAGAATCGAACAGTACAACAAAAGGATTCTCAGCTATGAAACAAATACCTTGTATTAGATTATCAGACTGAGCAGCTTCGGCACCACTAAGAGCAAATACTCTTCCAGTAGTCTTTGGACGCTTAGGTTGAGAACTAGCTCCTGTTCCCATCATGCGTTGCCTTGGCGATTGTGGACACTAAGTACTAATATGACCCTTGCCTCTGTAGTTGAAGCATGTTATCTCCTTGTCAAGATAGTTATAGTGCTCATGCCCATGTTGCCCACATTTCTTGCATCGACTAGTAGGTGTAGAAACAGAGCCTCCTACACTAGCAGCACCACTCACGAAAGAGTTTCTAGCAACAAATCTACTTCTAGCATGATTTCCTTGAAACTTGGCATGATTTACAACACGCACAGGACCTCTAGCTCCCTTGTAGAAAGCAACACGTGCACGGTTGTCACGATCATAGATTCTACACTTGTTGACAAGCGTCGGGTAGTGATAAATCTCTTGATAATTGATTGCTGCCTTCACCTCAGGACGAAGGCCATTCATGAACTTAATGCACTTAGCCCTTTCACCACCCTCACCATGGTAGTGAGTAAAATAGCGAATCAAAGCATCAAATTTGGCAGCATACTCTGCCACTATATCATTCCCTTGCTTCAGCTTAAGGAATTTCACTTCCTTTTGACTCCTCACATCATCCAAGAAATACTTCTCAAGGAAGACCCTCTTGAAGTTGTCCTAATTCAAGTGCACTCCTCCATCAATCATCCTCTGAAGTGCTCCTTCCCACCAAAAATGGACATCAGCAGTCAACATGAAGGTAGCTAACCTCACCTTCTAAGTGAGGTTCATGCCTAAAAATTTGCCAGACCAATATATTATCAATGCCAAATTTGATATATATATATGTGTGGGGGGGGGGGCTTATTATTAAAGCCTTATATCCTTGAATCTTTTGTATATACTATTCAAACTTTACTCCCAAAAAAATTATATTAAAAAGAATTGTTTATTTATACGTGTTGCTAGATTACATCGCCTTCGGATAGTGTTTTTGTTCATATTTAATGCAATTATGTAAATAAGGTGATTGAGACATTTAAAATATTTATCACTGATGAGAAAGTAATATAGAATATTGCATATTCTACATCGGTTCTTGATAAAACTGATGTAGATATGCCATATTTTACATCGGTTCTTGATAAAACTGATGTAGAATATGCCATATTTTACACCAGTTTTATTAATAACTGATGTAAAATTGAGATTTTTTATATCAATTTTTAAACCGATGTAGAATGTTTTACATTTTCTACGTTGCCTGAATTTACATCGTTTCCAAAACCAATATAAAATGACTAAAATAACTAATGTAAAATGTTTCTCTTGTAGTAGTGACACTTAGAGATGATTGAAGATGGATTATTTAGTTAATAATAGATTTGGACATTGTAATTCTTGTTGTGGCTCATGTTGCTTTGACTTAATTAGTAGATATTTTGGTGGATATAATATGATCATAGTGATTACTTGGTGGATATTTTGATTTGACTTAAAAGGGTATATAGCCTTAGGTGAGACTCAAAGTCAATTGAGCAAATACTTGGTGGAATGTTTTGAATTGGATATTTTCAAGTTTCTTTTAAGAATTAAGATATATATTGTAATTCTTAATAGGTGGTGTGAGTTATTTCCATGGATGTCTTTATTTTTTCATGTTATAATTTATTCCTTTTACTTCTAAAAAATAGTTTTAAAATATGGGTTTAAAAATATTGGTAAAAAATATGATTAAAAAACAAATTTAAAAATTGGGTTAAAAAAATTGTTTTACAAAATCTAGTTCAAAAAATTGGATTCAAAAAACTGGTTAAAAAACTTGTTTCAAAAAGCCAGTTTTAAACTGGTTTTTATCCGATCCATTTTGGAAATAGATTAATCCATAAATCTGGATCAAAATTGGTTCAAAACTAATCCATTAATTATGTTCGGTTCAAAAGCTAATCAGTAAACTAGATCGGATTGAAATCTACTAAACCAATCCATTTAAAAGCATATCAGATCGATTTGGATCAATTTTTTTAAAAAATCGATCCATGCCCACCCCTAATAACATTTTAAAGATTTTCAAGCTAAACACCATTATCTACTTTGAAATTAACTAAAACTTTATAATGTAATGTTTAATTTGAATCATAGCTTTACTTATTAAATTGAGAGCTAACAAAAATTTATTAAAAATCTTTTTAATAAGTATATTGATGAAAATAATTTTATAATCGTATTAATTTTTAAATTAAGTTGATAAAAAAAACACAAACTTAAACCAAATATTGTAGTACTCTATTCTTTTATTTAATTAAGTTATTACTATCCATTGTGATCACATTCTTACGATAAGTATCTAAATAAAAGGGAAAAAAATATATAATAAAAAAATAATGAAAAGTTGAAAAAGACCCGACTCTCAAGTCTCAATGAGGTAATTATTTTTGGTTGGTTGTTGTTGGTATAGAATAGCGAGCGTAACCGGCAGCGTTTAAAGTTGAAACTTGAAACGCTGAGGTAGCGTACCAGAATCATCCGGATCTCTGGTCTGGCAAACGCACACAAGATCCCAATCATTTCCACATGTCAGTCGCCAGTTGGCATCCCCACCTCCGCTCTCAATCACGTTTTCTCTCCCTGTCTCTCTCTCTATACACTCCTAACAAACCACACAATCACACACTGCACACACCACAAGCCTAGTCCTTACTTCCTTACTTCAACTCAATCAAACAAGTGTAACTAGCAGCCAGCCAATGTTGAGACTAAAAGGCGGAAGCCGGCCACCGTGGGTGGGGCTGGCCGCCGCGGTGTGGGTCCAGATTGCGTCGGGAAACACCTTCACCTTCCCTCTCTACTCCCACTCTTTGAAATCGGTCCTCTTGTTCGACCAGCGCCAAGTGACCCTCCTCGGCGTGGCCAACGACATCGGCGAAAACCTCGGCCTCCTCCCCGGCCTCGCCTGCAACAAGTTCCCCCCGTGGCTCCTCCTCCTCGTCGGCTCCCTCGCCTCCTTCCTCGGCTACGGCCTCCTCTTCCTCGCCCTCTCCAACACCCTCCACTCCCTCCCCTACTTACTGGTCCCACTCCCAATCCCAAACACTCTATTTCAACTTCAATTCACTAATTTAATTAATTATTAATTAAATTATTAAATAATTAAGTAATTAATACCTCTTATGCGATGTTGCACTTGCAGCTATGGTTCGGCCTCGTCGTCGCCGCCAACAGCAGCGCCTGGCTTACCACCGCGGTCCTCGTCACCAATATGAGAAACTTCCCCGCCAGCAGAGGCTCCGTCGCCGGAATCCTCAAAGGCTACGGCGGACTCAGCGCCGCGGTTTTCACCGAAATCTACAGCATAGTCCTCCACAACTCCTCTTCCAGCTTCCTCCTCTTCCTCGCCGTCGGAATCCCCGTTGTCTGCTTCACCATGATGTTCCTCGTCAGGCCCTGCACCCCTGCCACCGGCGACGACCCCCTCGAGCACTACCATTTTCTGTTCATCCAGGGCTCCAGCGTGGTCTTGGGGGTTTACCTGCTCGCCACCACGGTGATCGGCAACATCGCCTCGTTTGGCGGCGGCGTTTCGTATGCTCTGGTGGCGGTGATGGTTCTGCTTCTGATGGTTCCGCTCGTTGTGCCGTTGAAGATGACGCTGTTTCCGCGGAGGGAGTCGGGTTCTGAGTCCGAGGGGAAGGATGAGAATGCGGAGGCGCTGCTGGCGTCTTCTTCGGCGGGGACGCTCGGGAGTTTCTATGAGGAGGAATCGTCTGAGGCGGCGGAGCTTCTGGCGTTGGGTGAGGGCGCGGTGAAGCAGAAGAAGAGAAGGCCGAAGCGTGGGGAGGATTTTAGGTTCAGTGAGGCTGTCGTTAAGGCGGATTTTTGGCTTCTGTTTTTTGTCTTCTTTGTTGGCGTTGGCACTGGGGTTACTGTTCTCAATAATCTTGCGCAGATTGGCATTGCGCAAGGGGAGGAAGACACCACCACGCTGCTCTCCATTTTCAGTTTTTGTAACTTTGTCGGCCGCCTTGGTGGAGGAGTTGTTTCCGAACATTTTGTCAGGTGAGTCACTCACATTTCCTTATCTCGAGTAAAATCCTGTTTGGATACAAGTGCTTTTGGGAGATGGATCTCTAACTTTATGAAAGAAAATTTTAAGAAACTTAATACATTTAAATCTTAAATTTGTAATAATAGATCAAATTGTGACATGTATACATTTAGGTTAAAATATATATTGTACACGTATCATAGTCTGATTTATTTTTATAAATCTAATAGTTTAAATGTATAAAGTTACCATATTTTTATTTCCCAAAATTAGAGAAGCTGAATCCGTGTTTTTGGAAATAATGTTGTTTTTTTTCATAAAAAAGCTATAAAAGGTGCTTCTAATTTATATTCAAATAGACTTTACGGGTTAGAATTACTTCTGAGAGCTTCTCTACTAGAAAGCTCTCAAAAGTGCTTTTGTATTTAAAGAGATTATAAGTTTAAGATGTAATTTTAGTTACAATATGAAGAGATTAGATTAAGCACTGATACTTTTATTAGCTTCATTTATCTCAAATCCATACATATCTAATACAGAACTAGTAGATACTTCATTGATTCTTACATGTACTTGGGAAATATCTTAGTCTAAAAGAAAGGTTTTGAAAATCTAATACAATTACATGAGGTATAATAAAGAAACATAGAAGCATTGTTCTTTGATTAACTAAAAAGAGAAATTGTCCTTTCGAGGTTGAATTCAAGAAAATAATGGGGTTGATACTATTTCTATTTATAGAGCATAGGAATTAGGAAGTGATTTATAATTTTATTTTGTTTTTAGTAATGTTTGAGAAGTATGATCTTAATTTAGAGTTTAGAATTGCAATTATGATATATATCATGTTTTATAAACTTTTATATATGTAACTAAATATGTATTTATTCATAGTTACAGGTTAGTTGAGGGTTTTACTTAATTGTTAGATTCAGTTAGTTTGTTATGGGGGCTAGATAATGAGAAATAAAGCATATTGGCTATAAATAGGAGAAGGTTTGAGAGATGGGAGTATCTTGTTAATTGAGAAGAGTTACGATCTTTGGGCAGCAGGGGTTGGAGACCCTCAAAGTTCTGCAAACATATTGTAATCAGGGGAATTTCTCCATTTTCTTAAGTCACACACTAGACTCGTATCAATATATTTTTAGAACTACCGAATTGCTGTAGATATTATATCTGATACACTTATTGTATCTATGCTTCATATATATAAAAACTGCTGACAATCACAAATCATCCTTAAGCAAACATGGCTTTAGAGCATTACATGAAGTTAATAGAAGAATCAACTTTTCAGTTTTAACTGAGCCTTGTTTAGTTGGGGTTTTTTGGAACTGTAATTTAACTAAATTCGACTTCTGAAACCACATTAAACTGGTTGCAGTGCCACACAACTGTTTGCCTGATCTCCTTGAACTGAATATGTCTGTAGTGTTGTGACTTGTGATAGTGTGCCAAAGAACTACCAGCTTTCTCTTCATTTAATCGATTCAACAGATTATAAATTCATGCTTATGACACTTTTCAGGACAAAAACTATCCCAAGGACAGTGTGGATGACGTTCACACAGATAATTATGCTGGTTGTATACCTTATGTTTGCCTATGCTATCAACGGAACCCTTTACCCTGCAATTGCATTTCTCGGTGTCTGCTATGGTGTGCAAGTCTCCGTGATGCTTCCAACTGTTTCCGAGCTTTTTGGTCTGAAGCACTTTGGCGTGTTGAGCAGCTTCATGTCATTGGGGAATCCAATTGGTGCGTTCCTCTTTTCAGCTCTGCTAGCAGGGAACATATATGATAAAGAGGCAGCGAAGCAGCATGGTATAGGCCTTCTTGCTTCTGGTGTTTCCTGCGTGGGTCCAAATTGCTTCAAGCTTACGTTTTTCATTCTTTCTGGGGTGTGTGCTGCGGGCATCATCTTGAGCGTTATCCTCACTTTGAGAATTAGGCCCGTTTACCAAATGCTCTATGCTGGAGGCTCTTTCAGGCTGCCTCAAACATCTTCGAGTCACTAAAAGTTGTGAAGTTGAACAATGAATAAAAATGAGCGCTACCTAGGTGTATTCTATAGTATCTATACCAGTTGTGGTGGTATTTCCTTCTGCCATTACTGCGATGTATGTGTTATGTAGCTGGGTATCAATTATGAAGTTCAAAATTTTGGTATCTCTCATGGACGATGCCTGTTTTTGCTTGCGTGTTAGGCTTAAAGATTATCACTATAATTAAGGATAGAGGCCAATTAATGTACACTGACAGTCACATGTATGACGATCAGTTACTGAGATTTATATATATGTATCATTATTACTTGGTCTAATGTGGAAATTTGGAATTTGCTATAAATGATTTGGGATGTGTTTCTGCACCTAGTTGAATTTTATGGTCCAAACCTTTTAGTCGGCTAGACATGAAATATTGAGCTAATAATTATATTATTTATTAGGTGTAAGTTGCATACACCAAAAAAAAAAAATGAAATTTTTCGTCCTTTATTTGTGGTCACAAATACTAGATATTTATTAACAACCTAAGGCTAAACAGAAAAACAGAGCTTGAGAATTACGGTCGCACTATGAAGTTATCAGCATTGACGTGTGGATGCCTAAATTAATAACATACTGATTACAAAGATATCCTTGTTTGTAAAGTTTTATAATGAGCTTTTTTATATTATATAATACCCCAATATTTATTTTTTTCAAAAGAAATTTGTTCTTATCGGAGATCTGTCATAGGCGACGATCTGCTGAGTAAGATCGGTGAGCCTCCTTCGCTGGGTGCGCTTGCTACTCCAAAGTGGGGGTGGTACCTGCAAAAGAGACTTCGATGTTAAAGTTAGTGTTTGTGGGGGTATGGGTCTCGTATAAGTAATGCATGTATCTTGATGTGAATTAGGATTTTTCTGGGCCTTGGGCCTGAGATTAGTTATGCTCTATTTAAGTAGTGGGCCTTTGTCTTGGCCGATGTCGCGTGGTTAATGTCTGATGTCAATCTGTACTGTGATGCCGAGCTCAAGCTCAGCTTTGCGGTACGAATAGTACACTAGCCTCCCAAGCTCCGAAGACCGTGGGTCGAGGAGTTAATACTGAGCTCGATGAAGGGTCATGACTCTTCGCGTACGCTTCTCTGACGTGACGCCATGTGTCATAAGTGTCACTTCGTTCCCCGAACGTGTGGGCAGCGTGTTAATGGGAGGTGACGGTTATGTAATGATGGGTGCACTTCGTCATAATGGGCTCCATTAATGTGTCGTCAGTTTTGTCTTCTCTCTCCACGTGTCACTTCCGTTTCAATTTCGGGAACTCCCTTTTTCCCTCTCTCATTCGCGCCCTCTCCCCTTCACTTTACTCTTTCTTCTTTCTTGGCTTCTCGTGCACGCTCTTCTCTTCATTGCTACCTTCGTTACCCTTTTCTCTTAGCGACTCCGTTGTGCCCCGCCGTCGCCGTTTCCAGCAATCGAGTCGCCGTTAAGGTCACTATCTAAGAAGGAGTACCAGGTACTTCCTTTCTGTTAGCTTCTCTTTCGTTCTTTCTCTCTACCGGTCTCTTTCTTATTCCTTCTTCGTCTTTCCTCTTTTTCGAGTTTTTTCGTCTCTTGATGGCTGGAGAGAGTAGTGCCGCACCTTCGGCGCCAGCCAAGGGTAAGGGCAAGGCACGCGGCAAGGCAGTGGCCGACGAGACGGCCGCCGCTGAAAAGAAGAGGGGTGGGAATAACCCTAGGGATTCTCACCCCGCTATCACCGCTCCTGGCTATGAATGGGTCAGAGGGGACGTCGGAGAGTTCCAGAGCATCTTTAAATCATTCCTTGAGGTCAATGCGATGTGGAAATCGCACAGGATCTGCCAAGCTTCCATTTCCAAGCTCATCCGGCATGAGCCTTGCCAACCCGGCGAGCGTGTATATATGGGGGGTACTCCCAATACCTCCTTCTTCTATATGTGCCAGTGTTTTTTTAGGGATTTAGGTGTATGTCTGCCCTTCACTCAATTTAAGTGTGATTTTTTGTATTTCATCAACGCGGCTCCTTGTCAGCTACACCCCAATAGTTGAGGTTTTTTGCGGGCTTTTCAAGTCATGTGCTTGGCCCTGGGGATAGGGTTATCATTGCCCGTTTTCCTCAATTTCTACCAACTCAAGTTGGGCGAGCCTCCCCTGGGTTGGGTGTCTTTGAATGGGAGTAAGGCTGAAGGACTGTTCTCGCTTTACTCCCAATCGTACAAGAGCTTCAAAAAGGAGTTCTTCCGAGTTCTTCCTAGAGAGGCCGATCCTCTAGTCGATGAGGTCTTCCACTTCGGTGGGTTGCCGAGGTTCCCTCTTTTCTAGCAGCAGAATCCGATCAAGTTCAACGGGTCAAGTGGTCTTCAACTGACGGGTTCAGATACTGCTGCCATTGCCGACCTAGCCGTGCTCCCTCGTCCCTTGGATTGTAAGCTCGTCTTGTCGCTTGCTAACTTGGTAGACAAGGAGAGGGGTTTAGAGAGTGAGTACCTCGCCCTCCATAGTTGTTAGATTCTTTGTCGTTTTTCTTCTGCTTATGTGCTTGGATTTTGTATTTGCAGGTATAATGGGGAGGAGCAAGTGGCGCGAGCTGAAAGCCCGCTACGACGTGGCCGAGCTCGAGGTTCTCGAGGTCAGTGAAGAGGAGGTCGCTCCCCTTGAAACTCGCAGAAAAAGAAAGAGGGGAGAGAAGAAGGCCGAGGAGACCTCAGCCCCTCGTGACGTTGAAGAGGTGACCTCAAAGGCCGCTGATGCCGACCCGATCGACCTGACTGGGAGTCCTCTGCCTGACGGATCGGCTAGAGTGGCCGTGGAGGAGGTCGCTCGTGAAACGCAGGTTTGTGTCTTTCTTCTTATTGCTTTTCTTCCACCTTGTGTGATTTCTTTGTTTTATAACTTGGTATCTTTTTCGTGTTTTGTGTAGGCGGGGCCTGTGTCGACTTTCGTCGAGGCGCGGGTGGAGCCGAGCTCAGAGGCACCAGTTCCAAATGCCTCAGCTGCTGCGTAGGCAGTGCCTACCTCAACTCCTGCCAAGGCCTGCGGAGAGGGGCCGAGCCCTGGGGCACCAACGTCAACCTCTACAACCGCTGTGCTTCCTCCACCTCTGCTAGGGGCTCCAAAGGAGAAGTGCATCATACAGCGCTTCGATGTTACTCGCCCCCTGGCGAGGTTGGACCATGTGAGCATGTCGTCAGATGTGGACTCGATGTGGAGTTCGGGGGTGACTGCCGAGACCTTCTACCCGCGAGGTTCACTCCGCTCGGCTGACAAGGCGATTATCGAGAAGGTCGGGCTAGTGGAGGGCCTAGACTCTGCGGAGGTCTTCATCCAGAGATCGATCACCATCGTGGACCATTGGAAGCGTAAGTGGTCGAAGCTGCAGGGGGAGCTCGAGAGTGCTAGAAGCCGAGTTCAGTCCCTGAAGGAGGAGAACCGGGCTTTGGGGGCTGTTCTAGGCAAGGCCGTGAAGAAGAACGAGACTGAGCTTCAAGCTACAAGGAGGGATCTCGCAAGGACTCAAAAGTCTTTGGAGATTACTTTGAGGGCTAACGAAGTCTACGCTGCCCAGGTCGGCGAGCTTCAGGAGGTCGCCAATTCTTCTAGGGGCCAGGTGCGCTCTCTAGAAGACGAGGTCTCGGCGTTGAAGGCTGAACTGGCGGAAGCAGCCGAGAGGCATCTCTGTGACGAGGTACTTCTTGGTGGTAAGGAAGAGGAGGTCGTAAATTGATGGAGTTCACTTGGAGAAGGTTGATGTTCTTCAAGTGCTCCATGCTCAGGACCGTGAATGTTCTTGAGGTCAAGACTCCAATGACTCTTTGAAGCTCCTTGAAGTGTTCTTCAATGGAGAAGAGGCCTTGAAGTGGTTCGGTTTTCCTTAGCTTGCATAGGAAGCTTGAGGAACCAAGTCAAAAGTAGAAGAACTTTTGAGAGAAACCTTAGAGTGTGGGTTCTCTTCGGTTTTGGAGACTCTTGAGTGAGAGAGAAAATCTGATTTCTATTCTCAAAATATTCAAAAGTGAGTACAAGAGAGGTAATTACAAATATATAGGGTAGAGGTAGCTTCTAGGAGAAGCTAACCTTAACCATGGTTCACTAGGAACCATGGTAAGGTAAGCTTAACTCTCCACGGTTTAGCAAGCTTGTAGGAGAAGCTAACTTTGACCATGGTTCACTTAAGAACCATGGTAAAGTAAGCTTAACCTACTAAGGTTTAGAAGCTTGCAAGGCAAGCTTCAAACCTTGAAGAGGAGACAAGTAATTTCGGCCATGAACAAAGGAAGGAGGCTAGGCGGCCTTGAGTTCAATTTGCTCCATGAATTAATTCAAAAATCCTTGATTTGGTTTAGTTAGGTTCATCATATGATGATGAGAGCTAGCTAAATCAAATCTATGAAAAATTAGGAGCAAAATGAATCCATTATACAAAATTTGCCTAGGCCCAGTTCTGGCCCAATTACTAGTCACACCCTCAAGCATTGCTAAATGCCACCCATTTTTCCCTAGTGAAAAAATACAAAATGAATGTTTCAACTAAGGAGGTTAAATGGAGCTAAACTATCCAAGTAGTACAAAATGGAGTTGTTGAGAGGAAAAATAAGTCTCTTGAGGAACTAGCTAGGACTATGTTCAATGAGACCAAATTACCAAAATATTTTTGGGTTGATGCTATTAACACAACTTTTCATGTGTTAAAAAAAGTTCTGATCCGGCCCATACTAAAGAAAACACCCTATGAAATTTATAATGGGAGGAAGCCTAACATTTCATACTTTAGAGTATTTGGGTGTAAGTGTTTTGTGCTGAATAATGGGAAAGAGCAACTTGGAAAATTTGATGCAAAGGCTGATGAGGCAATCTTTTTAGGATATTCTACAAATAGCAAAGCCTATAGAATCTATAACAAGAGAACTCTAATTGTTGAAGAATCAGTTCATGTTGTGTTTGATGAGACTAACAAACAAGAGACAAAGCAAACT